GACGCCCTGGCTTGCTGAGAAAGGCAGCCTGATTCAAATGGGCAGTCGCAGACCCAAGCTAGACACATTGCACCGCATTGCATAATTCGCACTGGAGCTAGAAATCACTTTGCGAACAAATCCCGTTTCAAGAGGGCACAGATTTTACGCAACTGCTGCCTGTGGTTACACCATGTTGTAGTAATCATGGAAGTGCTACCTCGATCATATATCGTGCATCGAAAACGGGGCCCCTCATTCAGTTGTGGCCAGGCGCTCTTCTCTTTCTCCTGTGCATTGTGTGCATTGCATGCCCGTCAAGTGCAGTAACGTGCCTCTGACAGCAAAGATCATCCAGAACAACGCCCATCCAGAATGACGCCTGGCAGTATGCACGAACACCATCGCCCCTTCGCATTTCACCTTGCGCCGCGTGCTGAACCAATGCACAGCACTGTGGAGCACTCCACGAATTGCCAGTCCTGCCATCGTGCTGGAGGCCCAGTTGCTCCGCGGTATCAGTTTGTCCTGAACCGAAGCGCCAGGACTGGGGCTCTTGCAGGCTGGACGACGTGTCCGTTGTGTTCGCGGCGAATTACTACAGGGCCATGTCACGGGGGGCGGAACGAATTCCGGAGCTGTCAGCCCTGTACTCGGACACATCAGTGAGTGCGCAGCTTCCTGGGGTTCAGACTCTAATCCGGGTGCCAGCCCACCCAATGTTCACACCGCCGGCGAAAAAGTTCATATTGATGCCAGTGGACAGGCTTTGATCCGCTCGCGTGGAATGTTGTCAAGAATACATCATCCAAACCGCTTGTGGCGAAGACTCTCCTCCAGGACCCGCTTTGGCTGCGAGCTCCGCGTCAATCAGCGTGGAAACCTGGTGCTGACTCGTTGAGTCCCACAGGGACAAGAGCGCCACTTTCTGTGCAATGTTGTGCCTTGGAATTGATGCAATTCACACATCGCAGCGATGCGGCATGTGTCGCGGTCGGGCAATACTGCGTTGTATCTCGAGCCCTTCACAGCAGCTCCTCTGGCTGTGCCTCTTGCTGGACGCAGGCCCTCGTCCACGAAGGGAGGCAGGTTGTGGGCAGGTCGAAGATCATCGAGCGGCTGAGGGAGCACGTCAAGGTGCACGACGCCCTGGGCGGATTTTCATACAGGTTCACGCACGTGGACTGCCAGCCAATCCCCAAGGTCAGCCGGTCTCACCCACCCCGCTGGCGCCCCTTTGGGATCTCTCGGGGCGTGGTTCTGTTCTGTCATGCAGCAACGCAGTGGTTTCGCGCATCAACGGGCTCGGGACGCCTCCTCAGGCGCCTCCGGCAGGCGCTCGAGAGCTGCGTGGTGGCGGCCAGATATCTCATGGATCAACGAAACGTTGGCATCTTTGCAGTGCTCACCACCGAAGTCACCAGCCAGGTGATGGTAGCGGGATTAATAGCCGATAAACAATTGTTGGCCCTCTCGCAATGGCTTCCATGCCGTTGTGCAGTCATACCCGGGCATGCAGCATTGCGATATTGCCGGCATACTTGGGAGAGCTGCGGTTGCCACGTACTCCCTGGCAGAGGGGCCACGCTCGACGGAGCTGCTGATCCTGTCCTGTTTTACCCGCAGTGCAGAGGCCATGCACTGATTCTGGTGCAGGGCCAGCTCGTCCCCAAAGCGGATGGAGATCAGCAAGTGGCGGCCCTTGGCACACAGTCGCCCTTCGCTGAGACTTTTGTCCTGGGGAAGACGCCGCGCGGAGGGTACTTTGTGCAAAAGCAAATGTTTCGGCTGTTCAAGTGAAGGTGTGACGTCACGACGATGCACTCCGGCTTCATGGAGAGGATCCAGGCAGCAACTGCGTTTGTGGCAAATTTTGAATTCTGCGCACCGCTTGTCCAAATTACCACAGAAAACAAGCAGCCACCAAAGGCAGCTAGTATTCCCCCAACCCCAACCCCACCACCACCCTTTCTTCGGTTGGCCGAGTCTTGGCGTGCAACGCGGCTCCACTGAATACAAATTGTGATCCGTGCGTGAAGCTGGCAAGCAACGTTTGTGCATCCTCGTATTCATGCACCTTGCTCAACCACCATGGAGACGCCAACATTGCAATTCTGAGAACTTTCTTTTGGAAACTGTCTTACAGCATCTTCCCTGTCGTCAAAAGCAATGTTCTCACCTCTCCGCACCGTCGTCAACCACACGCCCACACCAACTGTCCTGTATCTGCTCCAGACATGACAACAGCCAGCGAGCAGCTGAGTGCACAACGGCCAGAGCGTCGCACACACAGCGGGCGAGGCGACCAAGTAAGGAACAGAATCCTTCTCCAGCTGGGCCACCGACACAAGGCCTCCTGCCTGGCAGCATGGCCAGTCAGATGATGCCCAGGGCGTTCCTGGGCTGCCTGTGGGCCTGGCAATGATAGCTCAAGACAAGCTGCTCTGGTACCACAGGCCCGAAAGTTTGGGCCCCTTGTGCAGTTGGCACAAAGGAAAAGAAGTTGCAGTGATTGCGTGCCTGGAACCAAGTCTCGCAAATCATTGAAGAGCCAGTGCAGCTGGTCGTCTGTGAAAAGATACGACTGAGGCACTCACCCATCCGAACAGAGGGTGCGGATGTGCAAGCCAGGTTTTGGAGTGCAGTGGTGGCGCTTGTGGAAGAGGCGAGGCAAGCCACAGCACGCATTGAAACTGGCAGGACATGTGCCAAACTCCCCACAGTGTCTCCACAACCGTTCGTGTCAGCACTGAACGCACTCTCAAACCCAAGCAATCGGGCAGTCAACAATGCAGGCATTGTGTCAAGCTGTGCGTGTGCGTCTGTCCACCTCGAAAGGAACGCCAAACACTGCAGACACTTTCCAACTGCGATGTGAAGGTCTGAGTGTGATTACAAGAAACCTGTTCCCATGCTGAATGATGAAAGTGGCAACATGAGGGTAGCTTACCACCCAAATCTGCAGCACTCACAACGGACGGCGTCCGTTAGAGGTCTCCTCCACCACCCCGCACCATCAAAAGAACCCTGCTGCGCCGCAATGCTTGAGTTTGGCCATTCTCACATCATACCAGCCACGTGCAGCCATGCACATAAACGGTGTGCAGAAAGCTCTGTGCATGGATGCACCACATTCACCCACTGGGTGGGAACATCGTGATACATGGGTATTGGTATGTGCACAGCATCAGGTTGAAATCTGAGCTACCTTGGAAATGCGAGCGCCTCAGAGGTGCATTGCAACAAGCGCACACAACAGCAGCTTCCAAACAGTTTCCTTGGAAAGCGCCGATGCAGCGTGATTCCACTGGTGACACATAGCCATACCAAACCCAAGCCCGTGAACAAGCGTGCTGAACTGTATGTCATTCAACCAGTCAGACAGGAGCCTGTCAGAGTGCATGACAATGGTGACAAATACATGAGAGTTGTGCCAAACCATGAGATGGGCTCATCGCAGGGGGTGTCCTGCACGGGGCACCCAAATGGCTGAGTTGTTGCCGTCGTTGGTGTGCTGCGCGTTGCAAGTCGGCAGGTCGCGTGCATGCTTACGCCGATAGTTTCCATCCGCAGCATCCTTTGTGCCAGCCACATAGTGAGAAGCCAAATCAGGCTGCGGGTTGTGCAAACCAAGTTTGAGGTTGGGCAACATGACGACCTTCAAAGTACCGAATACAGAATAGAGTAGGATGCCACTGGGAGGTGCAAAGCCTTGATGAATCAAAGCGATGTGTGTGGTTCAGGCGACAGCCACTTGGGCCACTTGACTGAGCCACATACAGATGTTGGCTCAACACTTGCTCTACGCAATCCCAAACAATTGGCATGCTGTGTCCAAATTGTTCTCAAGGGCACAAAAACACATATGGCACAACAGCAGTAGGCAATGCTGGAGATTGGATCACCCAATTTAAGTTCCACACCTGCAAACCATCCAGGATGCAGTTTCTCTGATGTGGCAAAACTGCTGTTGTCATACCCAACAAACTTCCAAATAATTTCCCACACTTCAATCACAGCTCACCAACAGCATCAGCGGCAGCCACATCACAGTGATTCACTTACAAGAACAGACATCCAGTTCGAAGCATGGTCGCCACTCACATCCAAAACACAGACTGCCAGAAGAGTCGATACTTTGAGCAACCCATTTCATGCATTTTAATCCTTCTCTCAAAGCAGAGTGATAACCCAGGAACAGTTTGCGATGAGCCGATTCAGTCGTGAAGGAAAGTCCATGACAGCATGAATTGGCTTCCAAGCTACTCAGCAGCTGGCTTGAGCACCACAAGCCGCACAGAAGCACTAACAGACGACCTTGGTGGCCCGGGTAAGAGTCACTGACACCACATGCGATGCTATCTCACTCTTGGCATGCAAGTTGTCAGATACCTGTCTGAGTGGCTGCGCTGGACTCCCTATCCCTCTCCCTGGATTGCTCAGCAGCCATGCTCCAAGAAAACTGGAGACAGCACCAGCTCAAATGCTGCCTTTGCAGCTTCCTCGTTTAAAGAGTTCACAACAGCTAGCAGTGTGCTTGCAAGGCTAGGTTCAAGAGTTGGGTGACCAGGCCAGATACTGCAACAGTACCGAATGAACCCAGTGAAAGGCAGGCAACCAGGTGCCGAGGGAAATGTCATGCAAGCTTGGTGCTCACTGCAGAGCAACAGACAACATACCCACAACCCCACGGCACAGAAAACCCCAAGCAACCCCCAGGGGAAGCATCCCCGTCATATTGCCACATGTCTCACTCGCACACCAGAACACATGCTCATCCAGGCCAGCAGCATCACAACAGAGAGGAGCCATACTGCAGGCAATCTGAAACAGACATCACACACCCCAACCCTAGCAGCCACACATTATCCAGAGCAGACAAACATCCCACACATACTTGATGTTTTCACCTAGTCATTCCACTCGCCAGCCAAGCTCCTCTCACGAGTACTGGCACTCCAGGAACAGAAAGAAGGTAGTGAGGCCCCCACCGGGTGCTCCTCCTGGACCCCCCACATCTCTTACTGAAGCTCGGCAGGCTTCTCCCACTGACTGACCCCAGTCTGGGTGTTGTAGTAGTAAGGCCTGTTCTCAGCATCTTGCAGCTCCTGCCACACAGATTCCGCCATTGCCGGCGCAGCCGCAGGGGCTGGCTGGGCCTGCTGCGGCACCGCTGCTGCCGTGTTGGGCTGCACATACGGCTGGTTTCCGTACGCTTGGTTGCCATACGGATCGGCTTGGCCATATCCAGGGTACGCCCCATATGCAGGAGCAGGGGCAGGAGCTGGGGCGGGGGCGGGGGGGTATGAAGGGGGTGCATAGCCCTGGGCATTGTAGTAGCCCGGGTAAGGGGCAGGGGCCGCTGGTGGTGGGTAGCTATTGTAGCCACCATAGGGCCCTGGTGGCGGCTGCTGATACTGGTAGGGAGGGAATTGCGGGGGGAAGGTGCCAGGCTGAGGGGCACCCCTTTGGCCACGTGGAGGTCCACCTGCATAAACCATGCTAAAACAATCAACCCACCACTCGACAGTCCGACAGCAGCAGCCAAATTGTGACAGCCCAATCACCATCAGTCCACAACAAGGAAAACACGGCCGTCGCTTCAGCAACAAGCAGCACGCAGCAGGGCAACTCACCAAATTTGTTGAACTGGGTCATGTGACTCAGAGGCGTGCCTCCATTGATGATTTCCTGCACCATGTCAGCAGCTGCCTGCACTTTCTGAGGTGGACCGGAGATCGTGACTTTGCAGGGTTCCACATTCTGGTCTATCTGCACAGCTGCGCCAGTGTCCCTCTGAAGTGCCTTGATGGTCTCCCCTCCCTTTCCAATCACACGACCCACCATCGCCTTTGGGCAGTCCAGCACCTTCGTCATCCCAACACCGTACTGCAGCGCCCAGCGGCAGAAGCATCAAGCACACAGCAAGTCAGGAGCCAGTGCTGCATTGTTGCCTGCCTGGAGTTGGCCACATCCCAATCCCATAGGTACACTTCCCATGGTACACTTGCCATTCCGCAGCGCCATGTACCAGGACTCCTGCTGTAGTGCGGTTGCGGAAAAGCAAGAGTTGAGATGTTCCACCACCAATGCAACGAACATCGTGACACACTTCCGCAACATGTGTGGTATGCCGAAACATACCTTCTGTATCACCTTCTGTGCGCTGCCAGGCTCCCCGTTGATGAGCTCGGTCACCATCTTCACGGCCCTGTCCACAGCCTCCGGCTGGCCGGTGATCTTCACCTTGCGCGGCACGCCCTGTGGGAAGTTCTGGTCCACCACGATGTTGGCCCCGCTGGCGGACTGCAGCGCCTTGATCGTCTCCCCGCCCCGCCCAATCACCCTGCCCACGATCCCCGGAAGGCAGTCCACAGTCTGGGACACCTCCCCGGGGGCGGAGGACGGCCCGTCCGCCTCCAGGATCCCCTTGATCATCTGCTTGGCCTCCTCGAGCGCCTCCACCGACTTCCCCGTGATGCTGACCTTCTTCATGTCCCCGGACGCCTGGTGATCGATCTGGATCTTGGTGTTGGTGTCGTGCTGCAGCTGCTTGATTGTGGCGCCGCTGCGGCCGATCAGGCGGCCGACCAGCATCGAGGGGCAGGTCACCGTGTCGGTGACGTCCCCGCCCAAGCCCGCTGCGGGTGTGGCGCCCGGCGTGGGCAGCTGCACTGTCACGGGGAGGCCCGCCGGGGTGGGCACCAGAGGGGGATCCAGGCCCGGAGCGACGACGGGCGCGGCGGAGGGGTCGGGCAGCGCGACGGGCACGGCGGCCACCGGCGCCGGGGCCACGGTCGCCGGATCCAGCGAGGGCGCCACCAGGTCCTTCAGCACAAGGCACAAAAAACGGCTGACCTCAAGCCCACGCCCCGCCACGCCACCAGAAAGATCATCCGATAATGGGAAGGTGGGCTTGGGGGCGGGCGCGCAAGGGAGGGACGACGTGGGGCGGCGGGGCATCCCTGTGATCGGGCGAGCCGGGCGGCGGGCAGCAATCGAATCGTCCTGACCCAGGGACCGCGGACAGCGAAGGGACGGCGCAGGGGGCGCGGCTTGCCGCGGGAATAATCCGCGAGCAGAACCAGTCCGCCAAGCCACGGCGGTGCGCCGCACCCCCCTTCCCCACCCACACCCCCACACCCCTAATCGCGACTACCACCCACAGCCACCCCCCCACATCCCGCCATCGCAGCCGCCCAGCAACCACACGGCCGTTCGAAGGCCCGCCCCACCCTCCGACAGAAAAGCAGGTCCACCTCGCAGCACCCACACCCCCTCCCCCTCTTATCCCTTCCCGCCCCTGGCCCCGGTGCCACCAACATCCCCACAGCCATGGCATCCACCCACCGGCGTCACGCCGGCGACCTCATCCGGCCCGTTGTAAAACTTCTTCCTCAGTGGCCCTTCCACGCCGTTCTCCCCGTCGCCGTCGGGCTCGTACTTGCGCTTGTTCCCGCCGTCCTCCTCGTACAGCCCGCCCTTGTCTGCCAGCTCCACGCCGCCCACGGGCGGGAAGGCCGGCATCGCCGCCATGCCGGAGTTCTCCTGCACGAACCGGTTAGCCAGCGCCTGGGCCTGGGCCTGCGCCGCCACCACCGCGTCCACGCTCAGGTTGGGGTCCTCGGCCATGCGGCTGGCCGGCGGCGAAGCGGCGGAATGTTGGTTTGGCGAAGGCTTTGTGGGGACGCGCTGGGTGGCCACCGGAACTTGTGTGGGAGTTGCGGACGGCTGATGGGCGGGGAGGTCGGTCTGGCTAAGTTTTCTTTCTCTTTTTAAATCCATACTGCATCAGCTTTCAGTGTCCCCCGTCCTATCACAAGATGTGCGGGCCTCGTGGCACCCAGCAAGAAAGTGCAAGGCGATGAAAAGGCCCCGGTAAGATGGGTTTCGATGGTGGTGCCAGGCCGTGTCCCCCCGGCCAGCCGGCCTCGCGTTGGTGGATGATTTTCTGTGGATTTCGCTCGGGCCACGTCGTGACAGATAGCACCCCCCGATGTGCAAAGAGTGCCCGCCTCTTCCTCTGGCCCGCGGGAAAATGTGCGGACTCGCCCCACCAGTCCGCAGTCCGTCCACACCCCAGAGAAGACCCCAGAGGCCTGGGGGGACGGCGAAACTGGTCGACCGAGGCCAAGAGCGTGGTTTGTTGCCCCTGACCTGCTCCAAGCACTGGATGGAATAGGAAGGCGGCTTCGGCGATTTCCACCTTCCGATTGCATCTGGTGATTCGCATGGATGTCCAACCGTTTGGGAGACGCCAGCTCCTTTGCCGGCCTTTTTTGCGCAAAATTTTACATTATACGTCTTGCTAATGTCCCCCCCCTCCCCCCCAAAGGCAAGAAATGCGAGCCTCGTGCTACCTAGCAAGAATGTACAAGGCGGCGTAAAGCTTCAAAAGGTGTGTTAGTCCAACGAATGCTCAATCACAAAGAAGAGAAGTTCGGCAATCTGGGGGGTCCCAGCAGATCAAGAATCTAAGCAAATCGTATTGGTCTAGTTGGTTGGCCATTTTCTCTCCCTGGGTGGTTT